ACCTTCAACAAAACTACTGTTAAAATCTAAATGTGTCCTGAAGTTTTAACTATTTGATACATGGAAAGGTTGCCATGGAGATACTGGTTTCATTACAGAATGAGTACAATCCCTTTTCTATTTTTTAAATTCACTATAAGTTGGTGATATGGAAATTTAACTTCTTGGTCATAGGCTAATGTCCCCTGAGGACACAATGTATAGAAGACTTTAAGATCTGCATCTCAAATGAATCCATGACACACATTTATTTGAGTTGAGTAAGTCTAGGATCCCAAATGAACATATTAAAAACCACAAGGGTATGGAGAGCCTCTAGTGTGCATAAATGTAGACATCCTTGGTCTGCATTCAGTGTACTTAGTTTATTGCAGAATGCTTTGCATTGTAATGAACCTAATAAACAGTATAGATCAGGGGTGTCAATCTCACGATGTCACGTGACGTGTTGCAATGTATCACAACTTTTTTTCCATTGCCGGCAATGGGGTGGGCACGGTTTCACTATGATGCATCTGGTCTGCGGCCGGCAGTTTGACACCCCTGGTATAGATGAAACAGGATGTCTTCACTGATTTCAGGAACATCCTTTCCTTCATATGTGTAAGAAGTCTGGAATTTCAATAGAAAAGCTGATGGAAACATAAAAATGAAGAATATATTTTTCTGATTTCACTGCATATTACAGAAACTTGGTGTAGTTATGAGCATAATGGAAATCAATTCTTTATTTTTATTATTAGTAACATCAATATGTTGCTGAAATGCTGCTTAATAAGGATAGGATAAGGTTGATCAATAGGAAACTAATACATCCTTTCATGTATTTTAAGCTAAATTATTTGGTAGATAGCAATACATGGTAATGACGAAAGCTTATACTTTAACATACATTAAAATCTGTAATATTTGCTCTTTAAAACTGCAGCTGATGTTTGAGAATATCTTATGTAGTTGTGATTAAATAGCACTTCTTGACAAAGGGAGAAAATGTGAGATAATTTTGGTTAAATATCTTAATTTTTTAAAATAATTTTTGGTAAATTCCATTTATAGCAATCATGATTGTAAAGTTTCTTCAAGAAAAGAATTCTTAATGTTTATTATATTACATGTTTGAATTGAGAAAATAATATAAAATACATTAATAGAGTGAATCAAAGCTGGAATCGAAAGACAAAATTCATAAACAAACATTAAAATAATATCAGCATGTAATACCAAATTATATTCTAATGGATTATACAGAAAGGCCATAAATATGATCTTGCCTGATAACAGAAATCAAGGTTTTAAACAGACATTTAAAATCAAAAGGGAGAATAGATATCTTTGTTTAATACTTTTATAGACTGACAAATGTAGGTTAAAAAAATCCATTGATCTTTACTATAGACCAGAGACCACATAGATTATCTGAATAACAGATATTTAAGTAGACACATAATTAAACATTTTGGTAGCCAATGATGCATTTCATATATAATTGGCTGTGACTTTTTTCCAATAAATGTATAGAGAATTATAGCCTAATGAAATAATAGAATGTTTAATTCTGTTAATTTATTGCAAACCATGCAATATGCTTTTGTATGTAACTTGGGACAAATGAAATAGTGTTTGGATACATTTATTAAACTGTAAAGTCCACAAAGAGTATAAATTCAAATAAATTATGTATTCCAATAAATAAATTTATCATGTATTATAAATGCAAATAAATAAGACTAAATTATTTAAAGGCTGTTCCAACTGATATATGCAGATATGTGTCTGTAATGGTGCAGTTAGAAAAGAACACATTTATTTAGTGTATAAACGGCTGTTCAATTTTTATTTTTTAATTTCCTTTTCTTTTTTAAAATAAACAGTTGGAATTATAGCATCTATTTTCCTCATGATTAAATTTGTTGATGAAAAAGAAGGGATTCTGGGATGAGGATTACGTTTTATACAGGGATCTTTTTAATAGAAAGAAGTAGATATTATTAACAGATTAGCCTAGGGTAAAAATCATAGAGCAGAAAAATTATCTACATAAGCCATTTGTGTTTGTATATATGTCATTTACACATAGAGTGTGTAAAACATATATGTACCTGACCAAATAGTTTAAAACTGTTTTTGGTGATATATTAAGAATTTAAAATTCATAGCGCCATTGTTGAATTTTGATTTCCAGACAGGAAAGGTATTTATTTTTCTGTTTCTCTTCTATTGCACTTTGTATGTCAAACCAGTTCATGTAAAAGAATTTCTAGATTTCAAAAATTTTAGCATGTAAAATTTACCATAGCTTACACTTTTGTTACCTACATATAAAGAAATGTACAAAAGAGATGGTTTGCATCCATCAAAGAAAGGGACTGAGTTACTTGGCTATAAATTCACAGATTTTCTGGAGGAATATTTAAACTAAACAATGGGGACAGTGATACAGAACATCCCTGTCCCCGGC